GTATGTTGAAATGCATTTTTCTTCCCACAAATAACTGATTTGATTTTAAATGATTTTTGGTTTTTTTGAGACAGATTCTCTGTCACCTGGGCTCGAGTGCAGCGACACAATCTCAGCTCACTGCAACTACCCCTCCCAGGTTCAAGTGATACTTGTGCCTTAGCCTCTTGAGCAGCTGGGACTATAGTCATGTGCCACCACACCCAGCTAATTTTTTTGTATATTTGATAGAAGTGGGGTTTTAACATTTTGGCCCAGCTGATCTTGAACTCTTGGCCTCAAGAGATCTGCCCGCAGCCTCCCAAAGTGCTGGGATTTCTTGATTTTAAATGATTTTAATCAGCAGTGGTTTGAAAGTGAATTTAAGTGACTAAGAAGTGACTGAGTTCCTAAATTACTTACTCCCAATAAACAAGTATTTTCTTATTTGAAAGGCATTAAGGTGTTTCCCAGTAAAATTTTTTGGTATAAATTGTTTCCATCCAGTTTAATTTATGGTATGCTTGTGTTTTTGCTTTTGCATTTGGATCTTTGGCCTTTGGGATATCTGATGAATTTTAAAATATGCTATTCAATGAAATGAGTTTGTCACTTGATACCGTGTTTACCTAAATCAAGTGTTAGGTACTGATATTTTAGAAGGAGAACTAACTTGAACTCATTTCCTGGGTTCTAAACTCAGCACACCACTAATTTGTGTGCTGGGGTACTTCACTGCTGCAACTGCTGTGGCTTTTGCTACCACTGTGACTGTTTGCTGTCACATATTGATCGATGGCTCTATAGCAAACACTATCATAGAGCCATCGATCAATATGTGATAGTGAATATGCGAGTATTTTTCTGTAGCTCAAATCCAAGAGCTTTACCAGGGAAGTAGTGTATCTTCATTTTGCAGGAATGAAGCCTGAGAGAGATTGGGTAATTTGCCCTAAAATTTGCCCATAACTAGGTTATGCCCCATGGTTTTCAAGCTGCTCAGATTTTCCCTCTCTAAAAGGGTCTGATAGTACTTGTTGGAGAGGGTAAGCCAGTTACTTTGCTAAGGCTACAATGAGCAACATTTCTGTTTTAAGACTTAGAAGGAATGTATTCATGACCCAGCTCAGACACCACCTCCTCAGCAAAACCCATTCAGTTCTTCCTTAAACAGATGGATTTGTTTTTCTCTAGGTTTCTCTGACAGACACATGCAAATCTGCAAGAGCCAGAAATGTTTCATTTGTGTTTTTGTTCTTTTACCTCACTATTCTTCTCCCCTCCTCTACCCCTCCAAGAAGAAGAAACTAGCATGGTGCCTGCCACTTGGCATGAAATGACAGGGCCTGTCACATCTAACAAATTAACCAAATGGATCTTTTGAAAAGTCTCTTCTTTATTATGTTTTAGAAAATTGAGTGCAGCTAATTTGTCCAGGGCCTTTTGTATGAATAAGAGCATCATCAGCTAGCAGCTTTTTGTTGAGTAGCAAGCTATGTTAAGTCACAAAGGGTAAAAGGAAAAAAATAAATAATAATTATGAATGAAATTGTGCTTTTTTATACTTTTCATTATTACAAATATTTTAACTTGGTTATTTTTTAAATATTTAAATTATAAAAATAAAATTATAAGTTTATTATTCCCTGTAGACACATTTCAGTTTATAAGCAAAATCTTGTTCTAATTTCTTTTGATGGCTCTAGTTTTTTTAAACTATTATCCTTGTCTTATTATTGTTTTACCAGGGCATTTAACTAGACCTTTAAGATATTGTGTGGGGTTTTTATTGGTGTGTTTCAAATTTCTGTAATAGAGATTGCTCTATGTAAGAAGATAAATACTTACGGACTTTATAAAAGTTAGCACTTTTCCTTCCAATCAAAAATTGTCTGGAATTCTGAAATACAATTTTAAAACAAATTTACATTCATCAAATGATAGAAGGCAGTAATTTATTTTTGATGGCATGGTTTACTGTCAGAATCTCATATATAAACTTCCTTGATTTCCCATAAAACTTCCGATAAGCATTTTAAAGTACAATGTTCCTCAAATTTCTTCTGAAGAATTTCTGATTTTAACATATTACTGTTAGGCAGTAAAAAAAAAAAAAGGCGTGGGGTTGGGGAGGTGTTTACTGCTTTTTGTATAAACCTAAGGAACTTTGAACTTTACAACTTAAATTTGAATCACAGTCTAAATGCCATTTCTTCTATAGCTTGGATGCAATTAATAGAACTTTGAACTCATACTTTGTGCATAGCCCTTTAGGTCTCTTTCCTTTTCCCAATTTATAGTTTTCATTTGTGTGTTTTTATTTGTCTTGTATCTTTTTTCCTATTTGCTATTTGATTAACATTTGAATCTAAGTATGTAAGACTGTCTATACCACTGTCTATCCTGCACTCTTCAACACAGTAGCCACCAGCAACATGTGGTTATTGGTGCCTAAAAAGGGGCTGGTGTGAGTAAAGCTGTCCGTAAGTGTAAATTAGGCACTGCATCTTAGACACTTGGTAGAAAAAAAGAATGTAAAGTTTACTAATTGTGTATAAAATTGCTTGCTGAAATGACAGTAGTTTGGATATATTATCATATCTTGTCCCCAGTTTATTAGAGTTCTTCCGTGGGGAAAGAGGAGTTACTGATAGTAAATTCTTTCAGTGAGACAATGGAGGTGTTTCTGCCATTGCTACTATTCTCCCTGACCTGTTTTGTGTCCTAGTATATCCCATGGAGAGCAATAACTGAAAGTTGAATTTAGGATTGCTCCTGGCTTTGAGGTGTCTGCCTGATGGCTAAAGGATTTAAAATATAAGCCTGTATATTTATATTACTTGTTTTTCTTTTAACTTGTTATCTTTATTAAATTTCATTATTTAGATTATGACAGTGGTATTAGCTTAGACTTGAATATACTCAGATGTATAAATGGGCCAGGCAAGTAACAAAGGAATGAATTTGTTCTGTGTTACACAATGTGGAATAATACATGTATTGTGCAGGAAGTATATGCCCTCTCTAGATGGTGGGTAACCTTATTCCTGTTTAGCTGATTGTGGTCTTATGGATATATATGGACATGTGTTGCCATATCTTTCAGATTTCTAAGAAGAGCCAAAAATCTGGATTTTTAAGAATCTTAAACTTCTCAATTCTTAAATACCGATAAATAATGCAAAATTTAAAAGTACTTATGCTGGTCAAACTAAATATAGCTGTGTTCTCAATGCCACTGCTTTGTAACTTTAGACCTAAGAGGTTGCTTCTTGGGAATAAATAGAGGTTTTGGGTATTTCGATGACCTAATTAAAGTATACCGGTTATGAAGAGAGTCTTGGTAAGCTCCTATTGATGAATGGCTTTTAAGTTTTACACCTTTTAGAGAATATTAATCTTAAAGTGGTGAATAATTGTCTTTTAGTTTGTTTTGAAATACTGTTTCAATGTACTTTTTGAGTATGTGTTTCTAGCATACTCATGTATGGAAGTGATTCTGCTCTTTATTTTTTCTTACATGCATTTCTGTAGTTATTTTAATGTGAATTGTTAACATTTAGAAAAATGCTTGTGTCGGATTGCTTGTCTCATCTCACAGAATTCATTCGGTGAGAATGACATGCACACCCTGTTCTGGTATGTGTACTGTTCAGAAGTATGATGGGTTGTTTTCTGAGATTTCATGGCTCTGTTCCTCTCCCCCGACTTTCACCTGAACGTACTTTTTTTAATCTCTCTGTCCCTCTCCTGCTTGGCCGAAATTCCACTACCAGCAGTTTCTCTGGTGTGAGTCTTGTGCTTGGAGAGCTCCAGGTTTTTCCGGCCCCAGCCCTCACTGCAGGCCTGTCTTGTACTCACCAAGTCCTGGAGAGGACTAAATACTTGCCAGTTTGAGCTGCTATCTCCAATTTGCCCACAGCGCTTCCAGTGAATACCTGTTGGCTGTTTGGGATTCTCCTGTTCTCAGATTGCTCAGATGCTCTGAGGCTTCTCTCTGCTTCTTCAACAGATACTGATAATACCTAGTTCTTGAGGATGGATGCTACTTGGGGTGGTTCACAGAGAATACTTTTCCACCTAGTTAATGCCGTAAATGTTTCCCATGGGTTTTTGGATTTGCTATCTAGTTGCTCTGTTTGTGTGTGTTGGGGACAGAGGGAATCAGGAGGTCTAAAACTGCTGTTTCTGTCCTCCCAGAAAATCCAGATGCACTAAATCGATAACGTGATGAGTGGTGGCAAAAAGTCAGACAATCATGTTTGAATAGGGTTACAAATTATATTTAAGAAAAATAGTATTTTTTTCTGTAAAAGTAGGGAAAAGGCTAAGCAGTTATTCACTGCTTCTTATAAAAAAGCCTTTACCAGAAAAAAAAAAAAAATTGAAAACTGCAAGAAAAAACTGATTTAGCTCATAACGTTGAAAGCGATTTGTATTCCTGGCACTTATAAACTCCCACTCCCAACCAGAGACACATTGTTTGAGCCAGAATAGGTTGTATCACTAACCTTTTGTGGGTTTTGTAAACCATTGAAGGATTATGTGAATTACCATGGAATCCTGTTCAGACTTGATAAGACATTTACTGAATATTGCTTGTTCTTATTCCGTTGATGTAAATAAAATAATAACACTTTATTCAAAAGAGCTTTATGGAGTAATATTTACTAAGGGCCAGTTTGCTGAGTTTTATGCACAGAAAGGCAATACAGTGTTGAAATACACATCTGTTTCAAATTCCCATATCTATAAGACACTACTCTCTTTAAACTTAAAGGAAAATATGTATGCACACTGTTTCATATGGATTTGCAACGGTACAGTGATCCTGAATTTCGGAACTTAACTTTCAGTTTAAAAAGTTTAGTTCTCCACCACATGGAATTTCAGCCATATGCTTGAGTAATTTATATAAAGATTTAAAAAATAGATGGGATTAAACTAAAAACAAGATGAGAAAGTTACTCCTAAGTATAAATACTATGTTCTATGACATTAATATATATTTCTGTTTGAAGGTCTCAGCCAGTTTCTTCTCCAGTCATCCTTCAGTTTGGTCATGCAGAGACCCTTCTTCCACTGCTTTCTCTCATGGGCTACTTCAAAGACAAGGAACCTCTAACAGCTTACAATTACAAGGAACAAATGCATCGGAAGTTCCGAAGCGGTCACATTGTACCTTATGCCTCAAACCTAATATTTGTGCTTTACCACTGTGAAAATGCTAAGCCTCCTAAAGAACAATTCCAAGTGCAGATGTTATTAAATGAAAAGGTGTTACCCTTGGCTTACTCACAAGAAACTGTTTCATTTTATGAGGATCTGAAGAACCACTACAAGGACATCCTTCAGAGTTGTCAAACCAGTGAAGAATGTGAATTAGCAAAGGCCAACAGTACATCTGATGAACTATGAGTAAATGAAGAACATTTTTAATTCTTTAGAAATCTATAAGGAGTGATTACATGCTTGTAATAGGTAGGCAATCCCTTGATTACGGAAAGCTTTTATATTACTTGAATGTTTCTGTCTTTTCACAGAAAAACATTTAGTTTCTCTTTGGGTTTGAACATGAGACATAAGAAATGATTTTTCACTGGAGCAGCTCTCTTAAGGGGAAACAAATCTATTCAGAGAAACAGCTGGCCCTGCACATGTTTACAAAATGAAATTCTTCCTACTTATATAAGAAATCTCACACTGAGATAGAATTATGATTTCATAATGATACTTGAAAAGTGCTGGAGTAACAAAACATCTCAGTTGGACCATCCTTAACTTGATTGAACTGTCTAGGAACTTTACAGATTGGTCTGCAGTTCTCTCTTCTTTTCCTCAGGTGGGACAGTTCTAGCATTGTCTTTCTGAATCAGGAATATTGTGATAAGCTGGGAGTATCACTTTGGAAGAAAGTACAGTAATGTCTCTAGATGAGAATTTGAAACAAGAAATAACGTTGTAAAAGGACACCTTCACTGAAGCAAGTCAGAAAGTACAATGAAAATAAATATTTTTGGTATTTGGTATTTATAAAATATTTGAAATTTTTTCAAGAATTCCTTTTTACTTCTAGGAAGTCTCACAAGACCATCTTAAATTATTATTATATCTGTTTGGACAATTAGCAACAAGTCAGATAGGTAGAATCAAAGTTTTTCAAATCTATTTCTTAGCTAACTTTTTCATTCTGTCGCTTGGCTTCTATTTTTATATTTTGCTATTATATGAAATATATTTTTTGGTTGTTTGATTTCTCTTTCTTTCTTTATAAATAGTTCTGAGTTCTGTCAAATACCATGAAAGCATTTGGTATAATAAAGAAAATTCTTATAACTTTGCTACCAGGTCTTTTCTCCTCTCCATGTCAAAATACAATCAATAAGTTATGTTGAAAGTTTAGAAATTCAAGCAGCTTTGACTCAATCTGGCAATTTAAAACAGTTTTTTTCTAATAGAAATTTCCTCAAATAAATGGATGTGTTAATGCATTTTAATTCATGTATACCTTAAAAGTGATATATTTCAAAGGAAAATTTGAGATTTTTCTTGAAAATGTGTGGTTACTCTTATTAAACAACATGTAGTAAAATCCCCTACTGGAGTCTCCTCTTATTAGTTTTACAGTACTTTGCTTTTGAAGAGACAGACCATAGGAAAACCAATACATGTTAAGAATATCCATGTGTCTGTGTACAGATTGTCATATGTGACTTGGATTAAGACATTTTCAAGCCAAACTTCAGTTGATAAAATTGAAAAAATCACTCTTTGAAAAAAAATGACAATAAGATCTTTATCACCCACAGTCGAAATATTTTTTAGTTAATTCTTAGTAGTTTGAGTTTTTCTGCCAATGAAGTCATCATATGCTAATTTAGAGAAAAGACAAAGATTTTAAATGGTTTCTCTATTAGTAAGAAAACCTCATGTTACTTTTGATTTGCAAACTATGACCCAAGGACACCTTTAAAATGATACCATATTAACTGTTGGGTTATGTGACCTTGCCAAGACCTTTTTGAATAGATCTTCTAAGGTTAAAAAAAGTGGCGCTAATGAGTAAGTAAAAGAAACAAGCCAACAAACACTGGGAGCTGTAAATATGGTATGTGTGCTATGAAAAGATGAAGGAAGACCATTTCAACATGGGATTTTCAGAAACTGAATTATTCCAGAATGGACATGATATAGATTAAATCAAATATTATCTTCATAACACAATTCTAGAAAGAAGATACAAATGTTACAAAGAAAGGATCCTGGATTGAAATGACCTTGGGAAACATGGGGTTCTCCTATGGAATGCCTCTGGCTTTTAATGTGCTATTGTGCATTGTGACTAAAGGAGGCATTATAGGAGATTACATTTTTTTCTATCTTTCTTGACCTGAGTAGACTCTCATTTACAATCGTCATAAATTGTAACTCCACAGCAGGAAAAGAGATGTCATATTCTTCCAATGAAAGATTTATAGTTTGAGTTCCATACTGGAAAACTTGGGAGGAGGTTAACTTTGAAAAACTTTGTTTAACTATTTTGTCATTACTGAAATAATGTATTTTAAGATAAAAGGATTCTTAATTTTATTATTCTTTAAGCTAGCCTCAATTCAGCATCTTCCATGTATCGCATTCTATGACTCACCACCCTGTAGCCTGAAAGGAACCCAATGGCATGTGTTAGTTTAATCCAAAGTCTTTCAAAGTACATTCTCATTTACGGGTCTATAACAATTTACAGTCTATGACAATTGTAAATGAGAATGTACTTTGAAAAATTTTGGATTAAACTAACACATGGCATTTGGGTTTCTTTCAGGCTATAGGTGGTGAGTCATGGAATTAAAAACAAGAGGAAAAATTGTACTCAATTGTAAATTTGATCAGATAAAAAATAGAATTGTTATAGTTTTATCTTAAAATACTGTTTTGTAATTTAGTATTCATTTCTTAAAGAAAAATGGAAACGCATTTTGTTAAAAATCTAAGTGTCACAACTATATATTGAAATTATGAGATGCAGAGATCCTTGATCTTTTGATCAGAGATCTTCAAATGAATGATGTTTCACAAAATAGACAATTAGCTGTTAAATGCTGATAGTGCATTAATACTGCTGATTCTGCAAAGTTCTGGTGTTATTTCTTTAAAAAAAATTGTAAATATGCAGACAAGAAAATAAAATGATAAATCACCCATATCCATCCTGTTTTATCAGAATTAACATCATAACATTTGTTTTAGATTTAAATAAGAGCCGTTTTGAGGACTTTTGTATACCTCTATGATTCTACTACCTCTAAACCCTACCTAGAGGTAACCATCAACATAAAATTCAGTATTCATCATTGCACTGCATGCTTGATTCTGGAAGCTTGTAGTATTGTGGGAGTTTTAAATTTTTCTATAGAAAGACTTGTCATTTTCTATAATTCTTGAATGACTAATGCATTTTACTACTCTTTTTGTTTTTCAAGACTTTTTAAAATCCTGATGTTTGTTGCAAATTAGTACCTTCAGTTTATCAATGCCTGTTGAGTACTTTCATATATAAACACTATGTTTTTAGTCTGTTGGCATATAAAGATGAATGAACTTAGTTGGTTTTTTTGGTTTTTTGTATCCTTTGAATACTTTTTAAAATATCAAAGACTATGAAAGTTTTATAGGAATTAAATTTCATTGTTCCACAGGACCATATAGTCATTTTTGACTCTATAAAGATGTATTTTAAATATTTCATATGAAACTACTGGATGGAGATTAAGTGTGGTTCATTTTTGCTAGTTTTACAGAAGTAGTGATACTATTCTGGTGTTATTTAGGAAATGTCTAAAACGAGAATCTCAAGATAAAAACTAAAGGTATTATCTATGATAGGATATGTGAAGAGTTGAACATTGAAAAAGATAGTCTTTGGCTAACAAGAGTTTATTCGTAATAGGTGACCAAATTACTCAGTTATGCCAAAATTTAATCTTTATTGGTTCAGCATTTTGGCTGATTAATTTCTGTGGACATAAGCCATTTTTTCTGTCTCATCTACAGCTACATATGCATTGTATTATACTTACTGTTTTCTATGGTCATGTGGTCATTTTGAAGTTCCTGCTCTCCAACACACAGTCACTTACTTGATACTACTTTTTTGTATGATATCAATCTTAATTAACACTGAAATCAAAACTCAGTGTGTAAGGAAAAAAGTAGTTCATGTTTTTCCAGGCATGTTCTAGTGTTATGATATCTTTATTTGAATGCTGTTCTTTGGTAAACTGCAGAACTGCTTATGCATACCCTTGGGATGTGAGAGTTACATGCAACCTAACCCAACTGTACAGTTTTGGAACACACTTCTCTAAAGTGGTATTTCATGTGGTTCATTAATGATAGTTGGAATTTGGACTGTCTTTTGCCAAATGTAAGCTGAAAATATTTGCATTACTTGCATATATAATTTACTTATATCTGACAATTACCCTGAACTTAGATCGCAGATCACCCAACTCTCTATTAACTGTTCTTTTTCTCATACTTATTTGTTTCCTTCCATTCATGTAGCAGCCTCTTTTACTCTTTAGTCTGTTTAGCTATGTTTTCTTCTGTATATGTGTGAGAATAATATCATTTTTAACAGAACTCCATATCAGGAAAAGAGATGTCATATTCTTCCAGTTAAAGATTTATTATTTATTAATTTATTATTATTTATTTATTTTATTAGTTTTTAAACTAGCCTCAACTCAACATCTTCCATGTAGCACATTCTCAGATTTTATTTTATTTTTAGGACAGAGTCTCACTCTGGCCCCAGGCTGGAGTGCAGTAGTGCCATCATAGCTCACTGCAGCCTCAAACTCAGCTCAAGTGTTCCTCCTGCCTCAGCTTCCCAACTGTCTGGGACTACAGGCACACTCTACCATGCCCAGCTAATTTTTAAATTTATTGTAGAGAGGGGGTCTCACTGTGTTACTGAGGCTGATTTTGAACTCCTGGGCTCAAGTGATCCTCTTACATCAGCCTCCCAAAGTGCTGGGATTACAAGCATGAGCCACTGCACCTGACCCATTCCTAGATTTTATACCATTTAGACCCAAGAAATCCATGTTTACACTTTTGTTTGTTGTACTGGGAGAATAAATATTTGTTCATTAAAATGACAGTCTTCTGAGTCACGTAATACTACTGGTAAAGTTTAATTCAGATATTTATTTTACATTCTTTCTAAGATGGCCAATATGGAAATTAAGTTGGAATGAAAGTCTATAAATTTTTGTCTGCATTAACAATTTGGGTGCTTTGGGAAACTTTTTCAACAAATACTCTGGAAAAAATACAGTTTAGATGTAAATTATGTAAGTATATACTGGTGAAATGTATCCTTGCATACATACAGATAGGACAATCTGTTTAATGGATAAAAAAGGTTCTTAATTGGAAATAGCTAATTTTGCTCCAGCCATAGTTGCTTTTTATGTTTTTTGTTTGTTTGTTTTTTTCTTTAGATACAATCTCACTCTGTTACCTAGGCTGGAGTGCAATGGCACAATCATGGCTCACTGCAGCATGACCTCCTAGTGTCAAGTGATCCTCCCACATCAGCCTCCCAAGTAGCTGGGACAATGGATATATGACACTATGCCCTGCTAATATATATATATTTTTAATCTTTTGTAGAGACAGGGTCTCAGTATGTTGCCCAGGCTGGTCTTGAACTCCTACGCTCAAGCAGTCCTCCCACTGCAACCACCCAAAGTGCTGGGATTGCAAGTGTGAGCCACCACACCTGCCAGTTTCTTTTTCTTAGATATTTTTCTTTACTTTACCTTTTTGAGATGAGAATTCTAGTTCTGGTGAGACAAGATAGTGTTTTTTTCTCCTCTGTCTAAGCAGCTTTGCTCCCTGGAGCTTTTTGTCAGTATTTGCATTATGAAAATTAGGTTAAGGGCCTGGTTTTCTAATTTGTCTGTTTTAGATAGTCACACCACCCAAGTACCATTTATAGTGGGAAGAAACAATTGTGTCAGCTTTTCTTCCTCCTCCAGTCCTGCGAGACTGAAAAGAATCTGAGAAGAGAAATTGAGATCCTTGGGGCCATTGAAAAAATAAGCTAGAAACAGCCTTCTCTACCTTTTCCTTGCTAAGAGATAATACACAAAACTCCCAGATTTAGATAGAAATTCCAGAAGTAGCTAGGATCCTTTTAATACACCCACATTACTCTCGTTGCAAGACCTCAGGTTTTTCTACTTAGGACATTGAGGGTAGAGTAGCTGACACTGGAACTTTCCAAATAGACTACTAATTTTTGCTTCAGTCACCTGCTGGAGGTAGGAA